GGCATTCCGAGAAGAAAGCAGCAGCAACCAAGACAACAGGAAGCCAAGCTGGAATGCCAGAGGGGCTGTGCATGGAGAGCTTTCAGCATCCAGGGAGGACCGTGTGTGTGCCCAGGAGGCTGCTGGGAGCCTATGGGGGCTTTTGAGGTGGGAGTGGTGGTCAGAGTAGTTAAGTAATGAACAGCATTGACAATATTTTTAAATCTCTAGTTAAATGGTAAAACGCTGCAGGGACATCAGTAAAGGTTGGTACAATCAGGGGAGGATGCCCAGAGCAAGAGGGACAGGAGCTCAGAGTGGAAGGGAGAGCCGGGTGGGGAGGGAGAGAGGCTGGCATCGCAGCAGTGCTCTGCAGGTCATAAACCTGGAAAGCAAAAGGAAGTGGACGGGCCATCTGTAAAGAGTGGTTCCCTTACGGCGTCGCCTTCCTATGTAGGTTGGGGCAAACGTAACTGGATTTTGCCATTAAAAGTAATGGCAATTACTTTTGCACCAACCTAATACAACACTCTATAATTTTTTTTTTCTTTTTTTTTTTTTTTTTTTTTTTTTATTTTTTTTTTTTTTTTTTTTTTTTTTTTTTTTTTTTTTTTTTTTTTCTTTGAGACGGAGTTTCGCTCTTGTTACCCAGGCTGGAGTGCAATGGCGCGATCTCGGCTCACCGCAACCTCCGCCTCCCGGGTTCAGGCAATTCTCCTGCCTCAGCCTCCTGAGTAGCTGGGACTACAGGCACGCACCACCATGCCAAGCTGATTTTTTGTAGTTTTAGTAGAGACGGGGTTTCACCATGTTGACCAGGATGGTCTCGATCTCTTGACCTTGTGATCCACCCGCCTCGGCCTCCCAAAGTGCTGGGGTTACAGGCTTGAGCCACCGCGCCTGGCCTAATTTTTTTTTTTTTAATGTGGCAATGGATACAGAACAGTGTCTTAAATTGAACCATGTGAAATCGCCATCTGGTAGATTATAAAGCACTTGCACGTCAGCAATTTCAAATTGTTCAATCTAATAGACAGTATGATCTCATTCTTGTTTTTTTAAAAAAAAAAAAAATTTGTATTTTTAGAGATAGGGTCTTGCTATGTTGCCCAGGCTAATCTTGAAATCCTGGCCTCAAGCAATCCTCCTGCCTCCGTCTGGCAAGTAGCTGGGACTACAGGCTCACTCTTGTTTTCAAAAAAGGAAAAGGCAATTGTGTCTATTCATAGCATCCATGCGATAATAACAGGAAAAGCCTGGAGTGAGGATGGAACAGGGGTGGGCTGAGGAGGTACATTTATTTTCACTTGAACAAGACACTTCTATATAGAAGAAAGGAACACAGAAAGCAGCAGGCTTGGCAAGATAGCTTTTGACCAGTCCCTTCCCAGGTGATTCTGATGATCAGCTAGGTCTGGGAATCGAACCTCTGGCCTCAAGTTTCCTTCTGGCTCTAACATTACTTTATTGCATGTCAGATGTCTTCATTTTTCCCTCTTTGACCAAGTTCATCTCCAGCCCAGTGAGATATCCAATTCCAAATGACAGAAACATCTTTAAAAACCCTTCTAGCACCCAATCCTCCTAGCAAGGAAGGACTGAAACCAGGGCAAAAAAAAAAAAAAAAAAAAAAAAAAAAAAAAAAAAAAAAAAAAAAAAAAAAAAAAAAAAAAATTATTAAAAAAAAAAAAAAAAAAAACATATTTTAATGTTCAAATGCTTCAAATAGGTGACGCATTTGGTTTTACTTGGCTTATTATTTTTTCTATGAATATAAGCCATTTTGCATTTTGGAATCCTTCTGCAAACAGAGCAGTTTGTCTTTGTGTTTGCTCATTTAAAAACAAATATTTGCCTGCCAAGCAAATACTGTCTCTTAGGATGTGCTATTAATAGGATAATTAGGCAGCCGGTAATGAAAAGGATTGCCGGTAATTATGGCAAGATTTGTTTTGGCATTTGAAGGCAGCGATGGAGGCTGGAGTGCTAAAATCTACCTTAGAGTTAATTAGTACAATTAGAACACACCTGAAAAAATAGCCCAGCTAATGAACACTTCACTCTACTTTTAAAGTGACAGCACTCGGTGCGTCCCAGGTTGCTTGGGCAGTCCCAGCCTAGCGCTTCTAATGTGACAGAGGGTCGTGAACGAGAGAGAGAACTTGAATTCGCCTAGCCTTAGTTTTCAAAGGTGCTCATTCTCTGTAAGCCCCTTTCTCTTTCCTCTCCACGCCGCCTCTACCCATCCCAGCTGTTCGAAAGCAATGTCTCCTGTATGTTCTCACTGGAACCTCATGATAACCCTTGGAGATAGATAAGCAACGTTCAGTTCTTTTCCCAGTTTTCAGATAAGAACATTGTAAAGAAGACATACGTGAGGCCAACAAACATATGAAAAAATGCTCATCATCACTGGTCATCAGAGAAATGCAAATCAAAACTACATTGAGATACCATCTCACGCCAGTTAGAATGGCGATCATTAAAAAATCTGGAGACAACAGATGCTGGAGAGGATGTGGAGAAATAGGAACACTTTTGCACTGTTGGTGGGAGTGTAAATTAGTTCAACCATTGTGGAAGACAGTGTGGCGATTCCTCAAGGACATAGAAATAGAAATTCCATTTGACCCAGCAATCCCATTACTGGGTATATACCCAAAGAATTATAAATCATTATGTTATAAAGACACATGCACATGTATGTTCATTGCGGCACTGTTTACGATAGCAAAGACCTGGAACCAACCCAAATGCCCATCGACGATAGACTGGATAGGGAAAATGTGGCACATATACACCATGGAATATTATGCAGCCATCAAAAACGATGAGTTTGGGTCATTTGTAGGGACATGGATGAACCTGAAACCATCATTCTCAGCAAACTGACAGAAGAGCAGAAGATCAAACACCGCATGTTCTCACTCATAGGTGGGTGTTGAACCATGAGAACACATGGACACAGGGAGGGGAGCACTACACACTGGGGTCAGTTGGGGGGAAATAGGGGAGGGACGGTGGGGGGTGGGAAGCTGGGGAGAGATAGCAAGGGGAGAGATGCCAGATGTAGGTGACGGGGAGGAAGGCAGCAAATCACACTGCCACGTGTGTTCCTATGCAACAATTTTGCATGTTCTTCACATGTACCCCAAAACCCAAAATGCAATAAAATAAATAAATGGGAAAAAAAAAAAGAACATTGTGGACCAGAGAGGCCCAGGTGTTACCCAAGGGCACGGACGAAGAGATCATAGAGGAGGTCAGCAGTCGCAGTCTAGGCCTAAGAAAAGTTGGAGAACGATTCAGAGAAAAGCCGCTTTCTGATTCTTGTAGGGGTCCCTGTGTCTGCAGGAAATGCTGGGCTTGCCGAGTCACTCCATAAAGAGGGTCTTCAGGGCCCACCAACCTGCGGTCCTGCTTGACTTCACTGGTGGTAACGTGAGATGAGCCTGAAGTAAGTAAAACCAGCCAGCTTGGAAAACATTCTCAAACTTAGTCCTTTTTCCCTCTTCTCTATTGGCCTTCTCCTTTCCGCCACTTATCCTCAGGAAGGTTTTCCGCCATGAGCAGGTACCACCTGGGCACGCCGGGGGTTGATGGACCAAAGCACACGTGTGACATCCCTGCCGTTATCATGTGGTGGCATGAGAGCTTGGGGGGATGTGCACGTTTGCATGCACGGAGATTTGAGTAGGAGGTGCACACACATGCACACAGACGGACACACACACAGACACACACACCAGGGAAAGAGCATTAGAGGAATGAAGAGAGGGAGGAAAAAGGCAGTCAATTTAAGAGAAGTTCTGCAGTGCAAGGCAGGCCATGCAGCCTTTCAATTCTTAGCTTCCGCATTTTAAAAATGGGGATAGAATTGGTATATCCACCTCGTAGGTTTGTCATTAGGGTACAGTGAGACAAAATCCACAGCATGCCTGCCCCATCCTCGTCCTCATTCCTACCACTACAGTTATTGTGAGGATCGCTATCCTTATGGATGTTTTTATAAAATGGGTTTTCTCCCTAACCCTTTGTATGGCCAGGCACTCACGGTACCCTCATTCGGCCCCATTCCCTGCTCCCTACCCCACCCGGCTCACATCTGCACCAAGAAACTCCCTCTGCCTCCATGACTCCAGACTCCATGTTTTACAGTTTGGGGGTGCCACTGGGGCCCTTGGAAATCACAGCATGTGCACGTGCTGGATAACACATCCAACATAAGAGAGTGCGTGTGCATGTGTGTAGGTTGGCCGGACAACGAGGAAAGGAGGGCTGGAAAATCAGGGGAGACCACGCCCCTCCTGGATTCATGAACCCTGTTCTCTATACAAGGCAAATACTAATGCACACAACCCTGTCAGAAGAAAGCAGAATACTCAGGCCTGAGATGGTTGGCTATCTCTTCCTGCAGTGAGCCCTCGAGAACCTTTGTCCTCAACTGCAAACGATACCGGCCCCCAATGCACCAGCTGCCACACTATGCGCCTTCAAACATGACATTTCATCTTCAGAGTAACCCCAGGAAGCAGGTCTCATTATCTTTTTAAGAATGAGGAAATTGGGGCCCAGAGAGGTTAGGTAACATGTCCTAGGCCACACATCCAGGATCAAAGCTGAGCTGACTGGCCCTAAGCTCAGCCTCTTCCCATTGTCCATGACTCAAAATCTCCTGCTGAGAACTCAAGGACTTGGGGCCATGACAGGCACATTTTTGGGAATTGTCAAACCTCTTGATCACCCAATGACCGTTAGTGCTAGGAATCACAGGAACAGAACTTGCATTTGTAACCTGAACTCAAAGAAAACCCCTCACATAAAAACTGAAATCTATGTCTCCCGCAGTAGCTGGATTTGCACTGATTAATTAGAAAATTGCATTTATATAACCCTTTAATCTGTATTTATGTGTTGCTAAGGATGCAGCTAGCTGGGCAGGGAATTACATCCAGATTAGCCTTGATCCATAAGCAGCCTGGATTGGAGCTGCTTTCTGCACTGAAGGGGAGAATCAAAGGATTTGGGGCAGGGATCCTCCATAAGGACTCACTCTCTCCCTCCTTGGACCCAAGGAGTCTGAGGCTTTCCAGGACTACCTGAGAAATCCTGCCGGGCCTGCTTGGTCAAAACTGAGGGTAAGATTACCCAAAGAGCTAATTTCCAGCTGAGTGTAGCACTTGTTTTCCTAAACAAAATTGGTTTTATTCTCCTCAACATGTGTTCAGCAAGATTAAAGATCCATCAACTGCACAGCTTAATATGAGCTATACTGGAAGCAGCCCATGCTCCTCTGGAGTATGGTTGGGAAAGGGGGAAGGGCAGAGCCTGAAATCTTGTTTGTTGAATCGGAAAGGCCCTTAATGGATAGAGGGTATTGAAGTAGGAATGGCAATGCTTTGTGATGTTTCAGAAGAAGAGATATGATCACACACATGCATACATATACACACATGCACGCACACTGTTTTAAAGTATTTCAGTTGTCCCTGTCATTTTATGTTTTTTTTTTTTTAAGTTGGATTACCAGATGAGCATGGTTGGGGGAGATGTGGCTGGGAGTGTCAGTTCCATTCTTCAGCATGAAAGGCAGTTTGACTCCGGGGCCATGTGGGTGTGGGACTCAATGAACAATGTTCGGCCCAGACTGCCAGATGGGGCAGGTGGGGCCAGGTTGAGCCTGGAGGTGAAGGAGGGAGAGAGACAACTTGGCTGGAGTTTGACTCCAGGGCAGGGAGACACTTGCTATTCCTGCCGTTGCCAGGAAGTTCAATGTCATTGAGTCTAGTGTGGCTGAAAGTCGTTGACCTTGGCCAGTCTGTTGCCCTACCTGGCCTGTTCTACATCAATTATAATGGAGTAGACTGAACGACTGATGAAGCTTTTTCCTTCTCTAATATTCTACTTTTATGAACGTCTCTATGGATGTCGGAGCCAGTCAAAGCAGCATTTTCCAGCCCTCTCTAATACCACCTCACAGTGGTGCAGCATTGTGGCTGAAAAGTGTGGGTTCCACACCAGCCTGCTGGGGTGACATCCATCCTGGCTCTACTGCCTGTGGGTCCTACAGCCTCGGACAAGCTTTTTCACCTTTTTTACTTTGTTGTCCTCCTCTGTAATATTGCAGTGACAGTAACGGCACCTGTATTACAGAGCTGATGTGAGAACTAGAAGAGTGAATATGTGCAACTGCTAGAACAGTGCCCGAGGACCAGCAGGTATTTCATAGCGGTAACTACAATTATCTTCACCCTCCTGCCTGCGAACCACAGCATCCTTTGCCACCAGGTATGATTCATCTGGGCCTCAGAACACATACCTTGGACAGCTCCTGGGTTGTCCTTCAGTCTGACATGCCCAGGGGCTATGCTCCTGGAGCACAAGCTAGGCTCTCCCAAAGGAGCTGGTGAGTGAGCCATTGGCAACCTCTGTTTTGTAAGCTGCATCTCAATTTTTATCGTAGGATGGGTAGACCTAACTCCCTCTGGTCCAGTCCTAGATGTAAACAAAAACCAAATGTCTATTTACACCCAGCATTCTCGATCACACTCATACTCTCCCTTATCTTGGATGTTTTGCCAAGAAAATGCACATTCTCTGATTTCCAAGGGGCCCACTGGCACCTCCAAATTGTAAAACGACCCACACTTTCATGGAAGCAGAGTATCTTGGGGCAGATGTGAGCAGGGCAGTGCTTCGGAAAGAGCCCCAGGGCAGGGGCAGGGAATGGGTCTCTGCTTTGCCTGACTTTCCTGGCTGGGCCTCTTCACCCCCATCTGTGAAAGCAGGGCCTGACATTCCATTTCTTTTTCCCTCCATGTGTTCAGGGGGACACTGGTCCTAAAAAAAATGCTGTCAAAGGAAAAAAAAATCTGGCCAAAAAATATTTGGGAAATGTGGCTGCTATATCCCCTTAATGATAATGAGCAAAATGTATCAGGGTATCAAAGTCTCTGAGAGGCCCTGAAGTTTAAACATGAAATGATTGAGTTTTATTTTAGCGTGGGGTTCCTAGCAGTGTCTACCAATAGGATCCTCTCTTCATGTCGGCCTCCTATGGAATTGGATGGCAGTTTCTTATCACTTCCAGTTCCAACAGACTGTGTCTCCTCCCCCAGGAAATAATAAATAAATCTGCAAGATTCTGTCATCCCAAGAAGAAGTAGCTCAGTGTCCTCATGTCTTGGCTGTGGAAGAAAGAAGGGAAGAGAAAGCCAGAGCCATGTGGTCAGCTTTACACACTGTCAGAAAAGGAACCCATGACCCCCTGACCCAGGGCAGCAGGGACGGAGGTGAGAAGTTGCCCCAAAGAAGATTCAGGAAACTCAGCATGAGCCGCCTGACATCAATCAATAAACCAGGAGGCCACCCTGCAAAGCAGGCTGTATTGCATTATTTGAGCAAGGCTGCTAGACATCTGGACATTTCTGTTAGCCTCCATCCCTCCTGTTGTCATAAATTTAAGCTAATCCTATGGGGCCCAGGATCATAAGAATAATCCCCACATCTGTGTGGGCTTTTCAGCTTTCAAAAGCTCATTCACGGAATTATCTCATTAGTTCCACTCAATGCCTGTGGGAGGGACTCTGGGATGATCATCGCCATTTGGCAGATAAATGCGGAAACCCAGAGAAGGAAAGTGACTTTCTCAAGGTCACACAGTAAGGCAGTGGACAATTAAGATAAATGCACCGGGTCTCCTGATCCCCAGCCTGGGACTCTCTCATGAGAATACTGTTGCCTTACAAAGATGGCCCTGAGACCCAGACATCTATCCCACAGCCGCCCAGGGCTATGGTCCTAAAGAAATCACTTGTTCACCCCCTTGCCACTGAATGGGAATGGAATATCATCAGGAAGCTACAGTGGAAAGGCCATAGGCTTCACGGTCGAATTGTCCAGGTTCAAATCCCAACTTCCTGGTCATCAACCCCAGACCACGTGGTGAAGGCCTGAGGCCCCTGCATTTACTCCTGACCCCCAAAGATGGGAATGATAATTCTGTGGTGTCACTTGCTCTGTCTGCTCTCCATCTCACCTTCTGACAATGACTCCCCATCTTTTGGGAACTGTTTGTCCTCCAACTCCAACTAGTTGGCCCTGAATGAAGCTTTCCACCATGGCATCCCTATCTACCTGGCTACAGGAGCAGTCACGTGGCCCCAGCAGGCCAATCAGAGGTCTACCCTGAGATTTTTCTCAAAATGAAATAGAGAGCCCCTTTCTTTCTAGGGATGAAGCTGAGGAGCTGCGGCTCCAGCATCATGGAGAAAGGTGGCCTGAGAGATCAAAGCTGGTGTGCAGAGAAAAGCAGAAGAGAGATGGGGAGAGAGTCCTGGAAGCATCTGAGGCCTAAGATGCAATCAGCCCTGGGGCCCTGATGCCCCTGCTCTGCCCATGGGCGGGTAACATGAGCCTATGAATCATCTGGGCAGCCCCTTCTGAGTGCCTTCCTGAGTACCCTGGCTGTCCTGACTGTGTAGCAAACGGGAATCATCACCCCTGCCACTCACTTTATGGAGCCCCACCAGCACAAATACCAGGAAGGCAGGTGGTGGTCCAGGAGGCCTCTCAAATAGGCTCCAAACAAAAATGCAGGTCTCCCAACTTTCAGAGACTGGAAATTCAGAGCTTATAGGAGTTTAAAGACAGGAGTCCAGACATCTCATTTGAGCATAAGGGTGACAGAGCTCATTTCATGTACCCGAATGAGAGTACATGTTGAACTATAAGGGCACTCACCTAGTTAGAGAGTCTCAGACAGCAGGGTCCCTTGTCCAGGCTCCTGGTCTGGGTGCTGTTTGGGCTGCCTTCCCCTATTTTAGAAGACAAAAAGGAAGAAGATGCTAGTGGGCACCCTGGAAAATGGGAATGAACCTGGATTCTCTGCTTTTCTCTAAAAGGGTTGTGAAGATCAAGACCAGTTACATACTATGCAGGCATAAAAGGATCTATCAAAGTCAATACTTTCTAAAACCAAGAGATTATTGTTATTTTAAAATTATGAGCTCTAGACTCCCTTGACACAAAGCCTGCCTTTCTCCAGAGAAATAATGGAAACCCAGGTTGCGTGCAGGAATTGGAGGAGAGGTAGTTAGAAAACTGAGCCAAAATCATTTCCCAGTGAATCTTGGCCATGCACCCAGAAACTGAACCCCCTGCTTCCCCATACCCTCTCCCTACTGCCATCTAATTGCATGAACTTGGGGAATCAAGTGACCAGCCGGACTGTTCTGGTTTGTCTGGCGAGTGTGGAACCGCCCCTCTCCATGCTCCTCCACACTCCCTGTCATCACATAGTATGTGGGAGAAACAATTGAGAATCAGGCTCTGGCAACAAGAGTTGCATTTCACATGTGTTCCTCATAGGTGGCCAGCCATCCCGTCTGTCTGGGAGTAAGGGCCTCCTGAGTTAATAGGTGCCTGGCGAGACTCACTAGCACCCATATCAGGACCATCTTCCTTTACACATCTGTCTCATCCTGTACCCTGAGCTACTGTTCTCACTCTTACCCCAGGGCCTGGCATATCCATAGCTTGACTCAAATACTGCCCCATCCTGCGCCTCTGTCCATGGTTCTGAACTGCTCTTTATGCACTGGGGCAAGGCTAATTCCTCTAATGTGGGGTACTTTTTGGTTCATCCAGGTATTCATTCAGTAAATATCTTTATAAGTTAACTTTGACCATATGACAGATCACCCCAAAATTTAGTGGTTTAAAATTTTTTAAATTACCAATTCTTATAGTTCACCTGGACCATTTTGGTCTGGACCAATCCTGCTGATCTGGTGGTTTGGCTGGGACTGGGTGGTCTAGGATGGCCTCACACATATATCTAGTAATTGATAATCTGTTGGTCAGGGCACCTCAGTTATCCTTCATGCAGTCTTTCCATCACATTAGCTCAAGCTAATTTGAATGGTGGACACAGCGTTCCAAGCCTGCAAATAGAAGGCAAGCTCCAATACTCAAGTTCTTTTGACACGTCGAAATCACATTTTCTAATGTTCTGTTGTCCAAAGCAAATTGCATGGATAAGGACACAGCCAGTGTCGGAGGCACTGGGCACAGGTAGGGGAATGATTGCAGTCATTTTTTATAACAATTTACCACTTCTCCAATTTTCGCACATCCCCAAAGCCCCATAATGCTGCAAATAATGGGATGACCCTCTGGTGAACCTGCAGAGAAATGACTTTACCTCTAGAGCTGTTTTAAAGTGAGAGTCCACTTGGCCTCTGCCAAAATCACTTTCATAATCGTATCAGGAGCAGTTAAAAGTCTCTTTGAACCCTCTTTTGCAACATTCAGGGGCACACTTCCAGATCTTGCTGAACCACAAAACTAACTTTTTTGCTTCTAAGTAAACAAAAACCCTCCTGAATTGTAAGCCGTTTTGACAATCTTCAGCAATGATTTTTTGAGTTGTGCACGGTTGGGCAATAAACCTCCAGTTACCTTCCTGGATGAAGGCAGAACAGCTCCAGAGTATAGTAGAATTCCCTGGTCCCCAACTCCTCAGAAGGGAGAAGATTTTAAAGATCCTCTCCTAGGGGCCAGATCGTTACATAAATTCTCTTTTAATCTCACAACCTCCCTCCTTGAAAGTGTTGTTGTCTCTGTTTTATGGAGAAAGAAGCTGGGGTTGTGGATATTAAGTATCTTGGTCAAAGTCACCAAGAGGTGGGAAGCTGCATCGAACTCAAGCATTTGGACCCCACAGTCAGGGCTCTTTCCACCACACCTCATCACGTGAGAGCTGCAGAGCATTCAGACTTGGGTGTAGGGCACAGGACTTTGATCCTAGCTCTGCCCCCACTTATGTGGCACCTCGAGACACTCATGCATTCTCTCTAAGTTTCTGTTGTCTCGTCTGCAATAGGAACATTACCTGCATCTAATCCAGGCTCAATCAAGGTGAATGCAAACGCACTGCTCCCTGAACTGTAGAGAGGAAGGACAATTGGTATTTTTGGAGGGTGATTTTGACAGCATCTTTGAAAATTTTAAATGTGTGTGTTCTTTCATCTGGCAGTTCTGCTTCTAGGAATTCATGTTAAAGAAATATATTCACCTATGAGTAAGGATACATGTAAAAAGATGTTTATTTCATCACTGTTTACAATAGCAAAAAATGGAAATAATATAAAGGCCCAAACAAATTATGCACATCCACGATACAAAATGCTATTTGTCATTGAAAAGGAGGGGAAGGATCTGCTGATGCAGAAATGTCCAAGATAGGTTTCTTTAAAATAATAAATGAAATTTACATATGATGGCACAGAAAGGACACTGGAACATACTTTCAGTGAAAAAATAAATGTTAAGATGATCAATAAACCTACGTATGTTTGTTTATGTTTATACATAGAGAAAAAAATAATTTTGAAGGAAACGCACCAAACTATTCACAGTGGCTTCCTCTAGCAGCAATAAGAAGATGGTGACTTTACTTTTTGTTTGTTTATATATATTTACTTTCTATATTTCTGTATTGTTGAAAATGCTCACAAGTATGTATTCCATTTGTAATGTAAAGAAAGAGCAGAGTTCTAGTGCTGGGAGAAACTTTGAAGATCACCACGGCTCAGAGAGAGAAGCCAATTTCTCGCTGTCACGCGGCCAACTCTTGGCTATCAGTTTGAAGCCCTCTTGATGCCCAGTGCTGGCCAGCTCCAGTATCAGGGCATGCTCTTCGGAAATCACAGGAGACTGAGGAGTTGATGATGTCACACAAGGGAAACGGCCCCCATTACAGTGCAGAGACCAGCACATGGGCCTGACTTGGCCACCCACCTACCTGCTGGCCTGGGTTTGAAGCAAGGAAGAGGCCTTTCCCAGCCCTTGCAGTACCCAAGGGAATGCCAGCCACCCTGAGGTCTCAGGTCAGGCCTCTGCTCAGCACGTGACCATCATGCTCCTTAGCAAGTCCCCCTCATTCCCCTCAGGCCCTGCCTTTACTCTCCCCACTGAGTGCCTGAGACATAGGAGATGCACAATACAGGCAGCCTTGAATTCTATCAGGGAGGCCAGAAATGGCTGGGTGGCCTGTCCTCGTGACCTGCCAGCAGCTGGGTTGGAAGAGAGGACTTCTGGGCTCTTCAACTGACATCACAGGGGCATGACTTTGCATTCACCTGGAGCCAGTTTTTCCCTCCAGAAAACGGACGTAAGGGTGACCCATTCAAGGCACCATAAATTATGTACCACTTTTTTTTTTTAAACAGAGTCTCACTCTGTCACCAGGCTGGAGTGCAGTGGCGCTATCTCAACTCACTGCAACCTCCGCCTCTCGGGTTCAAGTGATTGTCCTGTCTCAGCCTCCCCAGTAGCTGGGACTAGAGGCGTGCATCACCACGCCTGGCTAATTTTTTATATTTTAGTAGAGACGGGGTTTCATCCTGTTGGCCAGGATGGTCTCAATCTCCTGACCTCCTGATTCACCCGCCTCAGCCTCCCAAACTGCTGGGATTACAGGTGTGAGCCACCGTGCCCGGCCAATAAAGTGCCACTCATAAAGCCAACCTCTCTAACTGTTCTGGTCTCAGGTGACATTTTTTCCAAGAGCACATTATGTCCGCAGTGTGTGTGGGTCCCTAAGGGGCAGTCTCACTCCCCTCCCCCCCAGTCACCCCACTCTGTCTCTTCCTAGAGCTGTGGCCACCTGGGGAAACACGACATCAACTCTTGAAGCCATGGTGAGTCGGCAGATGGCATGTCGTTCTGTCTGAGCATGGCAGGAGGTCAGAGAAGGGAATGCCCCGAAGACCCCAGTGTGCCAGAGCCTTGGCCTCTACCTCCCAGCGAGAGCCAGACCCAGCCTACAAGCATGGCCAGAATGACTTCTGGCGAAGTTTCCAACTGCAGCGGCTTTCTAGGTTCAAGTCTTTGCATAAAGGAAGAGGTGGGGAGGTATGCGAAGCAGTAAACAGAGATACCAAAGGTTCTCAGTGCATGACATAACCATGCGGTAAATGTATATTTGGCAGAAAAGGCAAACTAGCTCTCTGAGTTTTCCTCCGATATGAAGGTTTTGCTTGAATCTTTAGGTGTGGTTTGATGTTCTCAGGAGGACTTGCTGCTGTGTTTCTGTTGACATTCTTGCCCTATCCCCAT